ATATTTTTGTCCTTGTGTGAGGGCGCACTTCCCCTGTCATTACAATGCTTGGTGCGTGATAATCGCGATTATTCCATTATTAAACATTTTGGACTTCCCTCTCGTGTAAAAAATCCCGGACAATATTATGCAGACATGCATGAACCATGACCCCCCCCTCATCACAGCGGCTAAAACGGGTGTCGGTCGAGACTTACCATTTTAGGACGGCTTAAGCTAAATCGGCGTGGAGCCGGCCTATCGTGACCATACGTGTTTCAACGCCGGCTTCACTATCAAACTTGCGTCTAAACCCGCTTTTTGGCACACGTGCGAACATGGTAACAGTTGCTCTATCTCTCCATAGCGCCATGTTCTTCTGGAATATTTTAATAATGAATGACGTCACGGTGATCATGGGAAAGAATCTTTTGTCGTGTAATATGGGCAAAAATAATATCACTCTGGAATCTGACTAGAATATATGTATTTTTTTAGAATTATACCAACAATGTTGTAATTCATATTAATAATAACTTTTGAATAGTATATGACAATAACAACAATTTTATAACAAAAATTAAGTTTGCTTGAACCTCATTAAAATAGAAGCCTACTTTGAGAAATTTGGTCATAAATTGCACGACGATGTTCATTGGGTATATTCTATACAAGCATTTCGTTACAGTGATGTATTTTAAGAAACTTGTTTTAATATTTTTCATAATCCTTATTTTAGAGCAATTCTATAGATTCCAATTGTAGAGAAAAAAAAGCATTTGTTGTCAACTTTTAAAACCCAGGTTTTTGAAATAATTCAAGACAACCAAAATCACCCATCATTCGTAATAACATGATTTATTTCAGCCTATCTCGCTACATTGTGAAATATGGATTAATATGTTCTCCACGGAAACCCGTAGAAAAAAAAACCTTATGTAATATGGACACAATGTTCGTCATCTACTAAAATACAAAGTCAAGATTTTTATAATGCCAAGGAGTAAAATTTATTGCAAAAATGGATAGATTGGTTGTGATTGTTATTTTTCCTGATTTCTTAAAATTTTGAAAAAAAACGTATTTACTAGTATTTGCATTGATCATAACTGACTGTGTTCCGATGATACGATGCGTTAATAACACGTCCATTTATGATGCCAATGTAACATCCATGGATGAAATCATGTGCTATTAATAATGTCAGTAAAAGTGTCTATGATTAGTGCACTCTCCCTTGCAGTCTTCTCGACCTAGGGAGCCACAGAGAGCCGCAACGAGTGGGACGTTCCCTGGCGACTACCTAGCTTAGTGATAAAAAGTGATAAAATAGTTTAGGCGACGGAGAATGGGATTGGTGCAATGTTAAAACTCAGACTACAGTTGAATAAGTAGTCTGAGGTTAAAATATACAATTGGCTAGTGTAACTTTAGGGGGTGGAGTTTTTGTCAGAAACCTGTGTGTGAATGTATTATAAAATTTATCATAGTATATGCATTCATTGGTAGGTTTGTTTTAATCAGTCGGCTATGGGATTCTGCCTATAACTTTGCTCGTGGAGCGCACATAACTTAACCTATCATGTTCGTGTGTTATTGGAGTGAACGAACTCTTTATTCCGAAAAAGATTCCAAGGCTAAACAATGAAAAATCAAATGACCCTGTGATCCAAGGTGGCAGATACTACAATGGTCAGTGACCATTACTCCTAAACGTAAGTTATAAACACCAACAACCGCTCATTATACAGTACTTCAGTTTTTTTTATTATAATCTTTAAGTTAGACAGTTATCTTCCATAGGCCTGTTATAGTACCTGCAATATTTGAACTGCAAATAAAACTCCTGAATCGATTTTACTCGGTGTAAATTTGGTTATTTAGAGGACGGTCACCAGCTTCGAACGAGCCTGTATGTATGTTATTTTGGCAAGTTATTCCACCCACCTGGCAGGATAGGTACTCAGGCGATGTGCGCCCTCATCCAGTGAATATGCAACGGTGTTACGTCCCTGTTGTCTGAGGGCGCAAAATGAATGATGGTGACTGATGGATTGTAAATGGTAAAAGAATCGCTGGAACGTTCACTTATTCCATGTCAGATGGGATTTCTGTTTCGCTGACACGTGGCATTTTAGTATTTATCAGATGATACTGATGGGGATGGAAGCACATCGTGAGAGGCTAGTTTCCATGGTTATACGAGATAAGGCAGTTTTATCAGCACTTTGCATAGTGTCACAGTCGTCCGTTCAATTTCCGCGCAAGCATGTAAAATGCATATTTCTCACACGGAATTCGAACACTGTGCTGTATCACGAGCAATAAAATACACCAAACAAAATTGTTTTAAAGTTAGTTGGGTGTTTATTTATATATTCTCAAATGCATCACATACACGATTACAACAAAACTCAGTTGGGACACAGGAAAACAAAAAGGCGCACATCAAATGCACGCACACTTATATAAATTATAACTTTTTACATTATTTGAATAGAAGAAATTCATGTATGTTCATTCGTGTTACATGTTTTTGTACTCAGTGTTGTCATTTTTTTACACCAAATAACAAACTTGTACGCAAATGTGTAAGCGCTTCGATCTCGTATTTCAGTGCGTGGTACGCCATCTCGTTGTCGAAAGATTCAATGTGTGTGTACAGTAACAAGTAAACATTGGATACTAAAAATACTCATGCCACCAATTTAAACAATTTATATTTCAATATCCAAAATGAAAAAAAAAACAATGATGATGAAAATACCCGCGATCACGTGACAGTTACCTTGCCCTCTCAATATATCACGTACCATGCTGAAATCTCGTGATCCTCAGTAAATATTCCCACGTTATGTACTCAGATATATATAAAAAAACTTTTATATAAAAATCGATCAAACATTTATAAAAAATGAGTCAGCAGCCACACCCTATGAACAACTGTGACAGTAGTTGAACTTTTCACACTTTCAAAAAAAAATGTTGAACTTGAAAGCACCGTAGTGATGTGTTATTTTTTTGTCTTGTACGTTAGTAGAGACAAAATTCCCTCCAAATAAAAGCGACAACATTTGTACACATAAAATATATACTCTTGATCACATTAAAAAGTTAACAATGTAACAGTTTGAAACGACAGACGACAGCGAACATACTCATTTTGAATAAGATGATGTAATTGATAAACGTTTGTTTCTTCTCAAAATAGAAATATATTTAAAAAAATTACAGATTCAAGTCAACTTAATATGAATGATTCTACCATAAACACAAAACTGTACTCAATAAATACACAATATGCAAATTTCAATCATGATTGTCGGCGTTTGACAGAATTCTATTTGAGATGTCGTAACAAGAATTAAATTAAAAATTGACACTGATATAATATGAATTAACTATAACAAAAAACGCAGACGAAAATACAAGTATGGAAATATTCACACAAAAATTACTTGGCGGGAAATGGTACGCAGTCACTTCTTGGTAAATATCTCATAACGTTGTATTTCAAAATGTATAATGCTTTATCGGGTCGCAAGACTGTTGAAGTCACTGGTGAGAATTCGCGCGAGAACTGCGAGAAGTATACTAAGCGTCAATTGCCATTATTGATCATCGTTTTCGACTTAAAGCGATTGCCTAGCTTTCCAAATTGATTGATTGCATGTTCCAGTTTCATTAAATCAAGGAGCAACAAACAATTAAATCTTGTTAAAGTCGTAATAATCGACGAAAGTGTGTTTGACGCCTTCGATACGCGAAGTAATATGCATAATATAACACCTGTAACAGCTACGGTATTCCTAAGACGTCCGCCTCAGGAGTTTCTCGTAAATAGCCGAACATTACCGAGCAGTTCCGTAGATTCTGCTGTGATTGAGTTTTCACGTGACATCATCACCAAATTGAGTTGTTTTCTGTATATTCATTAGCCGCCCCGAATTTATAGCGCGACTATGATTTCACTTACGTTACCGTTGCGTTCAAGTACAGAAAGTAGGAAAAATATATTTAAAAAAATACAAAATATATAATTGACTGTTCTCCTTGCCAATGGCCTTCGCCACCCAATAACAGAATGGGATGCCCCGTTTATCAATAACGTTCATGAATAATTACGTATTTCCATTGCACAAAGGGCATTGGCATTGTACACTGGTGTTTGCAGTCCATTATACAGGAGGGAGGTAGATAAAACATTTTTTTTATAAATATAATTTTTCCTACTCCTGTGAACTTCTAACATCCCATACAACATATGATTGATGATTGTTTGCCAAAAATACAGATTCAACACTTGTAAATAGTGTTGTACGGCGTGGCACCCACCACTTTGAATTCATTTATGTTCAGAATACCTGTCGTCCACAGTAAGAATCAATTCGACCAAATACTCCCACAATTCAATTCACGCATATTCATACCATCAAATACTTCACTTTACAGTCGCACAAATTTAACCTCATCCTTGTTCTAAAAACGCGACTAAAAAATTACGTTTTCATCAGTATTTAGTTCTCGGTCTGGAAATCACGTACAACATCCACGTGCCTGTTGTAAACGCTGCGGATTGCCACTGTCGTCGAATGTCCTTATTTGGTTCGCCGGAAATATCACAATATTTGACCAACCCCGCCAGAGGTAATTTTGGGGACCGTAAATTTGCCCCATTACGATATAAACAGATTTATGCGTGTAAATATAATATTTGGATGATAAATATATATGTATAGTTATGTGATTGGTATAAGCGTAACATTTCACAGATTCACCAGCAAGCGCCATCAACGGTTAACTTTTTAGTTGCTTTGTTTCTTCGCGATGGTAGGGCTCTTCAGTAAATACAGACACGCTGAGAAAAACACGCATATTGGTAACTATAGTATTGTTATATTATAACCAAAGATGGTGTACTTTTAGAAAAATCGATTTTGTTAAATTAAATCGAAAATGTAAATGTTTGTTTGTTTGTTTGTTATACGTGAACATTGGAGCGCCACCAACGTCAGTAACGTTTAATTGTCTGACTCGTCGGAGTCGACGAGTTCGCTCGGCGAGCACAGTATATTCGCTCGAGTATCTATATACGTGGAAAGTTGTTTGAGATGGTCGGCATCGAAAGACTGACGTCGTAGTAACGCAGGTTTTGTCGAATGCCTGTTATTGACCCCGTCCCGTTTCGGTGAAGAAACTCTCTTGGTGTAGGAGTCAGAAATAGTTCCAATTTCAGGTAATGGCGGATTTGGATTGATGTTCAATGGGGGAAACATACTCTGTCTCGTTTGCGAAAGTTCGTCCAATAACAGTGTTCCCGATCCGCGTCGCTCAAGCAGTGCGCCTCTCGGTGAGCGCCGGCGATTAGACGGAGAAGTCGGCGTTAGACTTTCGGCGGAATTTTGGTTGCTGCAGGGCGGTGACGTAATTAGGCGATGTCTGCTGCCACTGAGGCTTTTTGCATCGTTATCTTGTTCTGTCACTGTCTGCTGTCTTAAACTTTGTGGTACATTTATGTTGTGTATTGTTTGACGTTTGAGCAGTGGCGGGGGCATACTTGGCAATGAACCCCTCCGACTGAACCGTCCGTGCCCTGTCTTCTTGTCGCCTAGTACTTCAGCCGAGCCACTGTGTCGATCATCGCGAGTTGGCGGGGCAGAAAGCGACTTAATTGTGTTTTGGTGTGCCTGCAAGAGGCCTGACGTCGGTATAGCATCCATGCTTTGCCTCCTTGTTAGACGGCGGCGTTGTGGTGGTGACGAAGGTGGGCTGCTGGATTCTTTTTTCACTTGAGGAATCGAGATTTGTGTATGTGTCGTCACGGCGATTTCCTGACTCAAACCGTTGGATAAGAGGTGAGCAGCGGAGTTTACGGGTCCCAAGGATCCCCGGCGCCCTCTGGAGCGGGCATAGGCGAGAGCCTGTGCATCGCCTTGGTAGTTTTCCAATGTAGCTCTGAGCTGAGCGCGACGTTCTTCCAAAATTGTTGAGCCGGAGTCGGGAGACGAACTGCCGTTTTTACCGCCCTCATGTGTAGGCGAAAGCAAGTCTGGATTGCTGCTTTTCAAAAAGGCTCCGCTCCATCGATTCGAGAAATTGTCGTCGGCTCTCGGGAGATCACGTGATGGCATTGGAAACTTGAACACGACATCGCCTGCTTCGTCACCGGATGAACCGCTCGCGTACGGACTTGGCGTTGCTGTGGACGCGCGAATGTCGATATCTGACGGAGTAGCACACTTATAAAACGGTGGACTGCAAGAAAGTGTGGACGGTACGTCAAGGTATTGTTTGGTTTCTCGTTTATGTTTATTGTTATTCGTTGTAATGATGATAACTTCTTTCCCCTTCGCCTTACATGCATCAACTAACAATTTTAGAACTTTCGAATCGCCAGAATCGACGGAATACACGAGAGCGGAGGCGTCGAATTTGTCCTCTATCCGGGGATCAGCGTCGTAATCTAGTAAAGTCTTCACGACCTCGTATCCAGCCTTTTCGATACAAGCGTACATAAGCGCAGTTTTACCGTGTTTATCTCGCGTGTTGACCTTTGCCTTGTTTTCTAGCAAATATTTCACCATTTTAGCTCTGCTGACGCTTTGTGCGTCTTTATGCTTTGACATACACGATATCATCAGCGCTGTCTGGCCCTCGTCGTTCGTACCGTTGATGTCCGTTCCTCCTTCAATCAAAAGCCGAGTAAGTCGGAGCCTGCCGAGCCACACCCCTTTAAGAAGTGCGTTGCCTTCCGTTTGTATCGGTTCTATCATACCCGGCGAGGTACATTTTTTATTCTCCATTTTCATGGCTGTAATATTTCAGGCTGTGCAAGTTATCCCGAAATCCAAATTCAAAAAAAGAAAGTTCGCCCTCTCTGGGCGAGTTCCGTACATGTATTCGTTTAAGTCTTCCTCTTGCCAAGTTCCGGGTGGTTTGTTCTTTCTCCGGGGTCGTTAAATGTATAATCACGTGATTACTTTCTTTCCTAGGTGGGCTTCAGATTAGACCTGCATGAAATAAAAAAATACAAGTGGGTGGTCAGTAATGCGGCAGTATACTACCAGATTCAATGTGTGTGGCCAGTGCGTACTATGTCAATCCTTTTGTGTGGTCTTCGCAGTTACTGAATAGGGTCACACATGGTAGGCAAACAAACGACAACAATTCGAATTCGACTAGTGTGTTCAAGTTATCAACGCTGTTGGTCCTGGTCTTTTAGTGCGGGCCTAGTGCTGGTGTTATTGAGTCTGTGGCATGTGTTTGATGCCTATTTGATATTGCGTTGTTGGATTCAAAATCTCCTCGTCGTGTGGATATATGTTAATTTCTATCTTGTGTTTTCTTGAGAAATGTATGTATACTGCGGCGCCGTGATATGAAGGATATAACAGGCGACAACTAGAATCCGGCATCCTAAGGCGGCACAAGTACGGCACCGCATCGCCAGATTGATCTAATTGGATATACGAAATTCCCGATACCACCCAACCCATCCGTTTAAAGTCGACAAAGCGACTCGTCCGATGTGCGGACGACGGAGTCGATCAGTAAATTGGGTTGATTATCATGATCGCAGCCAACAGCGTTTCTCGATGACGTCAATTATTACGATTTCAGTTAGTCGAAACTGCCGTCTCGGACCGATAGTTATGACGACCACAGTGTCTGTCGTAGATTTGCGAGCATGTGATAAATGATAAATACGTCACCAATCGCACGGTTCGTTTATTATTATACGGTATGTGGTTTCTCTTTTCCGTGAGTATTAAAATGCCTTTTGATACGCGCTTTTGAGATACGTTATATTGGTATACATAGTATACCAAGCTGGAACACCCCCTTCTCGGGGTGCGACCATGTAAAGTACTATGGTCCTAAATTTATTAGGACTAGACTATTTGAAATCCGGGGGTAGCAGGGCGTTTTGGGTGTGCATTGTTTAAACAGTCTCCTCTAAGTGGATAATTTTATTATCCTGATTTCAGTTTAGGCTCAAGGGTGTAACGGTACAATTTTATACAAAATACTTCTCGGTTCCCCCAAGTAGTGAACTACATCAATATAGCTTACGCGAGGAATCAAGTAGCACCAACGATTTTGTTAACGACCACGGTGGTCTTAGCCGTGAGGTCTCGGTAAGCACTCGAAGACAGGCAGCCATTGAGAGCGAATGCAAACAATCAAATTGGACACACACGGAGAAACGCCGACACTGTTTTTATGGAGGAGGGATTCTCTCATTTCACCCTCGGAAATAAAATATTGAAAGATAATATTGCAGTATTAAGACATAAATATACGAATTTGTATAGTCTTGTTCAAATAAGTCAGCTGGGTGGAATATGGCTACTACTAGTACAACAGTCTTGTGTATCTGTTATGGGAACACGGTTTCTTGATGTCGTGAGGTGCCTGTAAAAAGTTGTCTAACAAAAAAAACTCGTGTTGAACAATAAACACATCTGTATGTGACGTCAATCGCCACAATCGCAAGTGCTCAAGCATTGTTGATCTGTGGTATCCATTTCTCCCGGGAGGTCAAGACAGTCACATTAAGGGACAAACCATTAATAACACTGCGGCGTAAAAGACATTCCGTTTTCGACATTGTGAAATTCTTTCGTTTTTATACAGAAAAATACAGTATTTTTATCAAGTAAAATCATATTTATTAAAGTTATTGTTCGTACACGAGTTGTTGAACACACTACATAGTTTTTAATTTCATTCAGCTTCTCTCAGTCATAATGCAAGACCAATAAAAGGCAAACACATAGAGAATATAGCAAATAATCTTTTTTTCTTGTGTAATCAGTAATTATTTATAGGTGCATAGGGAGTACATTTTGTTATGAATTATTCTTAATAACGTATATAAAATGAATTATCTTGCCAAAATCGGGGTTCTCAGTTTTTACTTCTCAAAAAACGAAAGAATTTCACAACGTCGAAAACGGAAAGTCTTTATCTTAGTGTTTTATTCATGTTGAGTAGCAACGTTAGTACACAGTCCCTCCAGAGGGAATGTGGTTAGACTTTGTACTGAGAGACACAGCCGCAAGTTATTATCAAGAGACGTGTTTATGCAAACACTGGATTTGCCTTCACAGCATATATTCTGCTTCTCCAGTGAAGCTGTTCACAGAAATAATAACCAATCTACACGAAAATAAAAATTCAACTCTACAATTACCGACATAATTTATATATTTGAGGAAGAAAATCGCATTATGTGAGCACGTGACACGAATTGCGACATTTTGTTGCATAACATCTTCTTAGAAACCCCAAAAATCAACTCAACAATTATCGACGTAATTTATATATTTGAGGAAGGAAATCGCATCATGTGGCCACGTGACATGAATTGCATAATATCTTCATTAAAATGCTACCCAAAACAAGCGTATAATTAATTACAAACATTCTGTAGTTGCCGATATTACGGGCACTCCACGGACACACCACGGGCACACCACGGGCACACCACGGGCACTCCACGGACACACCACGGGCACTCCACGGGCACACCACGGGCACACCACGGACACACCACGGGCACTCCACGGACACACCACGGGCACTCCACGGGTACACCACGGGCACACCACGGGCACTCCACGGACACACCACGGGCCCACCACGGGCACACCACGGACACACCACGGGCACTCCACGGGCACACCACGGGCACACCACGGGCACACCTCGGGCACTCCACGGACACTCCGCGAGCAGTCAGGATTTCGAATACGTACACCACTAACGTGGCTTCAATAAGAAACAATGATCCTTAAATCGGAATGGTCGGAAAAGGGAATACGGCTGGTGAAATTTTACTCACACACGTATCATCATGTACAGCTACATGCATTTCTATGCGAAACATACAGTGTCGCCTTAAAGGGGCGGCAGTCGTCGTGCCGCGTCCTGTTCGATATGGGACTCATAGCGACGTATACAACGCGTGTAAAATACATTGTTTATTTACATGAAATTCGAACACGCGCTGCGCGACGACCACCGCGCCTTAATCGTGTGAAATCAACAATATCGCGTAGGTCGGAGAATCGCGTAGAATCGTAGGGTCACTGATACATTTGAAAAACATGCCAAAAAATTGAAAAAAACAGTAAATACATCATCACCAATTACATAATACATTTCTCAAACTGAATATCATCAAAACAACTACGACCTTTTGAAAGTAAATGAGCGAGTACAGTGCACAGCAGTACCGTGACGTTTATATTACTTGATACACGGGATACGCACGAACCGCTGAGCAGCTTCACTATATGCCGATTATTAGGATTTTAGGAATTTGATTTTCAAGTAGTCAACCAAAACAACGGTACATCGCTAAATAAGATATTTCAGGAGTGCGTGATCGTCAACACGGCGTATGTTGAAACCACAGCCCAAGTTGTTGAGCGACTGTCAGAGTGCTGAAACCAAACTTCGTTCGGATTTATAGGATGTGATTGATTAATACGCAATAAATACAACGCGACTTCACGTCACCATTATCGGATGTATACGAATTTTCTCCCATCGTGACGTGACGTACCATTAAACCTGGGTATGCGGGAAGGCTCGCTGTGCGTGACATAACATGACATCATACAGCGGAGAGTACCGCGACTAATTGGACGAGGTCAGTAGGTCCCCGGTTTCGGATTCGATTTTAAACAAACATACATTTCATTTGAAATCATTATAGTCTAATAACACATTCATGATAAATTGGTTTATTCAGCAGTCTGGGTTATACAATTATAATGTGGGGGTGTACAGAAGTTTCAATCAAAGCGACGTGTAGATCTAATCACGTCAGGTGATGCTATTCGCGGCCGTACAACACACAGCTTTAGAAATGCTATCAACCACACAACTAGCCTGACAAGGCCGTGTGATTTGCGCCCTCCGTGGTGCTCCAAACCCAATACAGTGGGGTCTGATGCCGTTCGGCCGGCGAGAATGCCACTCATGTCTACATGTCAGGCTACCACACAACGAACCCCTCAAAGGAATGAAATCGTCCATCACAATATCAGGTCATTGAACTCGTCGTGACAATGCAGCCGTGTCTTGTATCTGTCGACGATGCGCTAAGGCAAGAAAACAACATTTATACTAAACTTGGAATCTTCTAGTAAATTACTTAAAACGCATGCGTAGTGGTTGTTGTTGACATCACAGATGATGCAATCAAGACAATGGGACGCAGAAATACATCACCACCTGGTAAACACTGCAATTGGTCAATAGCAGGGTGTGCTACGCACCTGTGTACTCACTTGCAGGTTTGAAACAATTTTCTGAGGGTGACAGGTGTTTAATTTATTTTATTATTTGTCTCACTAGTGTTCTATCATGTCTCGAACCAAACTAGTGGAGATTAAACGTATCAGATTATTTTGTTTCTAAATTTATCTGCCATTTTGCGCGAGTCAGATGACACGCAAAATAGATGGTTCACCATGCGCTAACATTCGATTCAACGATGTGTCAGATCATCATGTTTGTAGATGCCCGAAATAATCTATTTACATGATACGTGACATGCCTCCACTCGTTCAGGTACATGTACGGAAGAAATCACTCTAAATGCACACTACGAGCTCATTGTACGGTTATAAGAAGAAAATAACATTTTGTTCTCATCCTCCAACTATGAAGTTTGCCTTACTGGTCAATAATGAACTAGCTTGAGAGGTGTTGTGAACTGCGCCCACCAGCGATAATACCATGCGCATTCGGTAGAGGGCGCAGAGCACCGAACAGTTTGTTTTGTTTATGGGTTGTAAATATTTCTGAAGCGTAGTATTTTAGTGGGGTTTATGTACATGCATGCATTTGGTCATGTTCCGTGTATCTCGCGAAATCCACAATTTTTTTTTTAATTCACCCCTTTCAGTAGGAAGACATAGCCCGGATATGTATTTACACTGTTTTGGAGTCAACCGTGATCTTCATGTCTGTTAAAGGTGTTCATCACCGGGGC